ACCAAGGTTAAGCAGCATTTGGCATGGTTAGTACTTGGATGCGTGACCGTTTAAGTCTTGCCATTTCACCTTAGCTGTACGATTCGTGGATTGATTAACTGTTTTTTTGTCTCTTTGACATCGTAAGTAAGAGGTGTGCTAAATTTCTAACTCGTTGTCTAATTCTGCAGCTTAGACACAGGGTAAGAAATAAGGCAGATACACGGGGCTGTTCCGGATCAGCTTTTTTCTACGGAAGATTTCCCGGGGTTTTCCTGATCCACAAGACAATCGTCATGGGCGAATGCGGAGCAGTTGTTAGGGCCCTCTCTCTTCCAATCCCTTCCCAATCCTAAGTGCCAAGTTCCCTAAGTAGTACCTCTACAAGAGAGCCGGAGGTAAAGCACTATAATATAAAATACGTATGTGTGTGTAAGTGTGTGTGCGTGTGGGCGCACGCACGTGTGTAAAAATGTTCGACGTAATAACAATATATTTTTCAAATTACGAGACTTATACGACGTTGCCAAATTAAACTGGGACACCATTCATGATTCGCGCAATTATAAGTAATATATTATGTATCAGAATAAATATTTTGTGGGTGCCCACGAAAAAAAATAATTCACTTCTTTTTCTACTATTTTGACTTGTATTATTTTTTATCAAGACATACTACCATCCTACACCAACCTTCACTATGTATAAATATTTAATTTTAACTACTAATTTCATTGATTTGTTCATATCACCTAGGAGAGAAACAGATGAGCAGCATACATACAAATAATCAAGAGGTTCTGGATTTACACAACTAAGAGAAAAACTACAAATTACTGAATATCAATTTATAAATAAGTATAACGTTCCTGATGTGTTTAGCTTTTTTATGTTAATGTTAGTAATAAACTATGTTCAATATTTCGATCTTTTAATTATCTTTGTATGACATAAAACTAATACACACAGTTTTTTAAATTACACTAACATTTAGTTACGCAATAATACAAGGTCCTAAATAGTATATACATACCAGTGGGGTAGCATCCCACTATCTGATCCGTACTTCTACTCCCAGCCTATCATGTATGGTTATTTTTTGCTACGTTTTTATTAAAAAACATATTTGTAGGATTACTTTTCAAATAAATTCAAATTTACATAGAATGAACTCTAAGCTGGCTTAGTCCACGTATCTGTTCTGCTCTTTTATCCAATATTCTAAGGAAATAAAATTATTCATACAGGTCTAGCGTGATCTTTGTCATAATTGTTGAATAAAATAGTATAAAGTTCTAAGATATTTGTGTTTTCATCACGTAAATTTATCTGATATCACAAGAAAGATAAAATACTTAACAATAAATATCAGAATATTAGAAAGAAATAATTCTTAATTTTTTTACCAAAAAACAACTTATTAAGTTTCTACTTAAATTCAATTATTTTGAGAAATACCATTTTTATAAATATATTGTTATTTTTTAGATAAAAAATATACAGGAGAAGCCAGGGGTGGACAGGGACAGCCAAAAGTTGATTGGGGATCTTGATTGCCATAAAAATCTTTACTCTTATATTATATGAAAAGAAATTATTAGTTCCGAAAAAAAGTTTTTTTGGTGAGCCTTAGGGAGACATTATGAAAATATTCGCTATCTCCTTAAATATTGTTTACATTGTACGTTACATAATTGTTCAGTCTTTATATTATAATCCTATTCTGTGATAATGTACGATGGCTTCTATTATTTAATTGAAGTTCTTTCAAAAAGACAATGTGTTATAGCAGTACTCCAAAATTAAATGAAATAGAAAGTGTTATTATAATGTAGCATTATTCTACTATTCTTGATCTTATTTTATTGTAGGATCGTGAGGAAATCTATCAGTTTAATAAAGGGGTAAAAAGGAGCAGATAGAAGGGATAGAAAAAGGCAAAAAAAAACTTTATTAACTAGGTAATAATAATAAAACTAGGTAAAAAAGATCTAAATAATACAGTTATGCTAAAAGCCATTATGGGCTTAGATACCATTAATATTCTTATAACTATAAAATATAGAAAGATACAAATCTTCCTATACTATATAGTCCATTCTGTGAGGCATTCCACATAAACCATCACAGCCCCTCCCCCTCCCACAACTTCTCTAAGACTACACCAGCCCCTACCGATTTACCACATCATTTTTCTTGTTCTCTCACAACACCCCACATACTTAGTATCAATAATTATATTTTCAGTATATTAATTCATACTTTGTAACAAAAATTATTTTTTCAATCAATTTTTTTGCACTTCTAAAGAGGCAAGCAAATTGATTGTAAACGTATTAATATAATATATAAAGTTAATATTTATTTCTGTAATAATATTGAAAAATAACATGTATAAAATCGTAATATACTGATGATAAAATTGTTTTAATTCATTTACATGAGCAAAGTTTTCAGTGCATTTAACTTTTTTTTGTGTTACAATTTTTATAAAACAACGTTACGTCCACTATTTATGATATGTATTTATATGAAATGATATAATTACATTTAAAGTTAAAAATGATACGAAATAATTGAATAATATAAGCCATGAAAGTATTGCCTCAGTTAAAGAGGTTAAGTGAATTACCTATTAAATCCAGCTGTATTATAACCAGAAAATGGTTATACATTATTCATTTGTACTAACATTAAACTTACAAATTAACGCAAAAGCGTAAGCAGCTATTTAAAGAATTTAAATTCAATTAAGTAGCATTTTGTAATTTTTTTTAAAACAATTGGTTTTCCTCCTAGTTAATACTTAAAATAAATTTCTTTGTCAAAATATGTCTAAGATATTTTTTAGAATAGATAATTAAACAGAAACGATAGGTTTTTTTGCAAATTTATTATAAAATTACTATTGCGTCATATTTTTTAAGCATTTATATAATAATAAGTGTATGAATCACAATATTTATTATCCAAATTGAAGAATCCATCTATCTTTTATCTCTTCCCTTGACGTAGATGTTACAAAATAATTATGAATGTACATGAATTTAATGAATAATTAATGAATGAATAATGAAAATAGAGACAATGTACTATGCAAAAATATCTTCGTAATTAATATTTACTATTTATGTGTTTTTTGTTTTCTTTTACTTGAATCAATAAATTGTTTTATTTTTGCATCTTGATAAAGCTATGTATAACTAAGGATAAGAAAAAAAAGGTTTTAATAAATATAAAACTACATTATCGAAACTGACCTCAGAATTTGTTTACTGTCATAGCAAATGCCACGACTATTGGAAATTGCTTCCGATACAAAATAAAAGGTAATGTTGAGGTGGTTACTGTGTTCAAAGTTATTTTTAAAGTGAATAAGACGTTATTTAAGTACCCATTATTGTTCAGGATAAAATCTTTGTATGGATTGTATTGTTTGACTGTTCGTTGAGCTAGAGTGAGTTGAGATGGCGGAGAACAGGACACTGGTAAACACTGTGTCTCTTCTAGTAAATAAATCACTCACACATATATAAACTTTAATGTAACGTATTTTCAATAAAGAAACCATGAAAGTTGCAACTATAACACAATTACATTTAACTTATGAGTAGTAGTAAATAATGTCACAGCTTAGAAGGTGATAATATATTGCAAGATAATAAATCCACTGTCTCTTCTAAATAACAAAAATAAAGATAAGTTGATTTCTTTTACAACCAATGAGTCATGCACGTATTAGTGTACAAAAGTACCAGGAAAACTAAACCGTTGGTTGTGAGAGCCGAAGCCAACACAGCGCAACTCAAAAGTGCAAGAACCTCGGAGAAGCAGCAGTTTTGCTGAACCGTCTTGCTCAAGCGTGGCGGGCGGACTGCCTTTGCAACGCAGCCAGGCATTAAGTCGAGCGCGGAGCATGCTGAGAACCTGAATCATACAGTACACGTATCTCAGCTTGTATCTCGCTTTATAGTTTTTCTCGACACAAGCACTTATACAAAGCATCAGGTATAACGAGGCTGATGCTATACAATCATGAACAGGAACAAGGTACTTCTCACTATTAATAAATAGAATGTTCCAATATTTGAGCTGTTTTATGTACTTTTTTTTAGATTTTTGACCTGAATTCGTTACAAATATAAATTCAAAGTTCTAACCATCTTCTAATAATATGAGAATTAGCATTACAGTCAAAAGTTGTTTATTTACCTAGTGTTAAGATACATTTTTTCGAAGACTTATATATCAATAAAATAATTAATTGAGATGTACACATTTGACCAATAAATAAGGAAGGATTATCTTGGGAATCTTAAAATGACTCTAAGAGGTATACAAGCAATATCGATACATTTATCATCGTATCAATAGGCGCATTTGTAGATAGTGGTACTTTTATATAAACACTCTTAAAACCATCCATGCCATTTTTGATACCAAATATACTAAAGACTTATACTTAAAATTCAGTCTATTTTCTGTTTCAAGAAAATTTCTTGAAAAATGAGTAAGAATGAGAAAAATATCCTCCCCGAGTGCAGATTCAACACACAACTTCCTGTTTACTATACAGTTTCTCTACCACTTGAGCTACATATGCGCCAATTGATACAATGATAAATGTATCAATATAACTTGTATACCTCTTACAGTCGTATTAAAATTTCTAACTATTAACAAGCATTAGAATCATTTTGTAATACATCTGTTAAATATGGTTTTATTTTAAATGATACTTTTTGGTCTGAAGACTATCAGCCAAATAAATGCATTATTATAAGATACTAAAAAAGACTACATACGATATTGTCACTGCATTCACTTATTTATGTAGTGCGCAGTTTATTTCGGATAAAAAATTTCTAAGAAGATCTGGATCTTATTAAGAAATGTAGTCCAAATTTTAACACTGTACAGAAAGTCTTTATAGCAATACTTTAGAAAAATTCTTTATAGCAATGCAAACTTATCTGAATGATAGGAAATTTATTTAATATTTCTTACAGAGTGAGATGTAAATGAAGCTATTTAACACGTTCCTTTTGATATATATAGTTTTATCTTCATTTTAAATGGTTTTATAACTATTTAATCGAATTCACTCTTATTTTTTCTCCTGTTTCGAATAAATACATGTGTTCAGTCTTGGTCGCATCATTATCTAGGAATTATACACTATAATTGTGTTCAAATAAGTTAAAAATCAAACTAATTTTCGATGTAAATTTAATTGATATTTTTGACTCCTCGGATTAATTGCATAGTTCATTCTTTTGACACATCAGCAGTCGTTGTATCACTAAAATCGTCAAAGTTGGCCCAACCAGTTTGCTCAACCGGTTGAGGTATCTCTTCATTCCAAAGATTAATCGGCGTCATAGAAGATGATTGTAGCATCTTCACTGTATTCCAAGCTTAAATAGAAAAATTTACTACTATTATTATTATTATTATTATGATTATCACTATTTAGATAACAGAAAGAATAGGATTTAAAAAATAAATTAAAAAACCTTGACTAATCAACTTTTGTAAGGAAATTATTAATACTGGTCATAATGTTATTGTTATCATTATCTTGAACATTAACACATAGTTTGAGTTTCAAGAAACTTATTTTTAAAAACTTATAATCATTTAAACTTAAATTAGTTCAAACCAATGGATGAATCGAAATAGTATTAAGTCTTCATATTACTTTTGAATGAAAAAACTTTCAATGTTATTTATGTTGCTTTCTAACAATTTTTTTGTATCAAAACCTTAGCCCACACAGTGTAGTACGGAAATTTTTTTATCTAATAAAATTCAAGGTACAAGTTTTAGGCAAACCAAAAACGTATGCTTAAACCTTTATCTCACACGATATCTATAATTTATTTGTGATCGTTGAACTGCATGTCCTGGCAGTCAAAGATTTAACCTTATATTTGTATGAAAATTCGGAGTCTTGAGAGAAAGTCAACATGCCAGCTTTATGACTCTTTATAATACGTGTAAATAACATAAGTATTAAAAAAACTTTTAATTGTTTTCTTTTGATTTTTAACTATCAACTTACATTAATAGTGCAAAAAATCTTGAACATAATTCGTAGACGATATTTAAATCAAATACGATTGACTTAAAATAAGTTTTGTATAAATATTTTGAAGAAATCAGTCTACCAGAGTTTTTTTAGCGCTCACTGCAAGCTCAAAGTTATAGATGTAAAGTATTAAATAGAATTTGTAGATGTTTGAAGATTATTGTATTAATTAAAAATTTATTATTTTTTTAATTCACAACATAAAAAGCAGTACTGACGATTTTTAGTAACAAAAAATGGCTCATAGTTAATACAGAACCTTCTAACCGAAATATCACGTACTATACTTCAAAGTAATTCGTTTCAATATTACTGCAAAAGAAACACAATGAATGCACGCGTGTCAGTCCCCATCCTGCGCCAGCAAATGCATAGAGTAGCATGTGTCCAAAGGCTGCGTCTTGCTTGCACGCATAGTGAATATGACTAATTAACACACCATGCGTCCAGAGCTTTACTACAAACCATGTACTGAAGTCCTTAAAAAACTCCAACTTGCACATGCACTCAGGGAAGTACCAAAGAACGTTGTGTACAAGCTGTGAGCTCAGATAATGCATTAATCATGAACTGCTAATACGAGGTTTGTTCAAACCTCCCTTTGTTTTGATTTAATTCTGCACAATATGCATATACTTTTTTCCACATAATATACATGTATATGGCAGAACCAGGTTCATTTGGTACTGCCATGTATAAGAAGGATTTGTAAAAGCAGAATATATGTTTACAGAGCAGAGCTAAGCAAAACAAAAAAAGGAATTTAAACACATCTACTATCAACGTAATAAACTATTTGTGATGTTGTTCTAAGTTTTAACTGCCATGGTGGTGCAGTGGTAGAGTTGCAGCTTCGTCGAGCACTAAAAATCAATAGCTTTTGGCGTAATAAGTACTTAAATAGGTGACCGTTTGTGTTCCACCATTTTACCCAGACTACTGATTTTTCAACCGAAAAACTGTTTCAATTATGCTTAGTCAATATAATAGTAGTAGTGGTAGTCGTTTTTTTTTTGTTTTTTTTTGAGGAGTAGGAAAAATGCATTGAAGCACATCGCATAGACAGCGGTAGTGTGGGACTTGGTAAATTTTTTTTTATTAGACCACCCATACCCATTAACCCCCGCCCCCCCATGCCGCCTGGCTTTAGTTACACCCCGGAACCTCGTTAGCATTACTTCAGGGTGGAGCAACCAGGGAGACAATCGCGTCCCACAGCATTAACAAACAAGTTCGCCACTATTTGCTAGAGGTGCCAATCCTCTCGAGTCCTGAAAAGGACTCAGGGTCCCTGAGGACTGCACCTATATCTAGCGCTTCTTTGCAGGCTGCTATCTTACCTTCACGCCATTTTTACTTTTGGCGGCATACTCAGGGACTCCTGCTTCCTGCACAGCAGCTCTCTTCTCTTCTTTCTTACGCCAAATGATAGACCCGTCGAAGCCATCCACTGCCCTTCACCCCTCTTTGGTGCATAGCATCTCAGAGATGATGGTTTCAGGAGTTTGTGCCACGCCTAGCCCGTCCATCAGCTGCTGGCGCTCACGGTACCATCTCTTACACACGAAAAACAAATGATCGTCGGTATCATCAAACACAGGGCAGTAAGTGCATCTTGGTGATGCTATCACCACAATGCGATGGAGATAGGCATTAATTTGGCCATATCCGGAGAGGAACTAGGTGAGATAGTAATTTACCTCTCCATGGCCGCTCTCCACCCATGGCCACGGGTGCAGTATCAGCGGTGCGTCCACCTACCCACACCAGACTGGCTTCACTCCTGTTGCGACGTCATCAATGTGTTCTCCCGCATTTCATTATTGCTTTCGTCACCAGAGCCTAGAAACTTCTTTTGCCGCTTTAGCGTAAGCAATATAACGGAAATCGTTCGTACTATCACAATAGTGGCAACGGAAGATACTGTGCGATAGGCGTAGGCGATCCACAGCGATACGATGCGCTGCACCGAAGTGAGGCGCTTCCGGATATCCCTCCTCGCGAGCGCGTCCGTCCACACCTCCTCTTCAGGATCCACGCTCTCTAATTTCACGTCAGATTGTAGGACTGACTTAAACAAACCTTCTAGGCTTGATCAGAAGATTAAGTCAACCATTGCACGAGCATACAAATGAAATGGGTAAGCCAGCTACACCATTCCAACCAGCTCAGACGAGTAGCTTCACATATCTATAGTCACCTCAAGGCCCAGATGAGTCTAATTAACGCTACAACCTACGTCCACACAATAAAAGTGAAGTGTAGTGAAAGTATATTGTGAAAAGACACTAAATAAAGTAGTATGAGTGGTAGTGTATGTGAAATCACGGACCTTTATAAATCAAGAGTGGATGAATGAATGATCACAAAAATTTTTTATCACACTCTCATAACCGCCATTTAAAATAGTAATTCATTTTATAAAAGCCCCGATAAAACACTAAAAATAAGAGGGGAAGACATTTTTTACTTTTAAGATGAAATTCACTATTTGTCAAGCTGCCAGGATTTCTTCACCAACATCACCAAAAAGCGAAAATGATATACCGAACATTGACCAAAAAAGACTTATGTGTCTTTCATCGTGGGATATAGAAGAAACGGAAAGGAAAAGAGATTTAACTAGCTACTTTTTACGTCGAGAAATGCATCACTAAGTTCTAAGATTTTAATTTTAAGCATTATAAAACTAATGAGTGAATTTAGTTAAGTATTACCGCCACATATTGAAACTACATTGGTAGAGACAGACATCAGAAAGAAAGAATAAATAAAAAAATAAATAAAATAATTAAAAAACTTCGAGGCTTTGAGATTCAAACGCATATTGTATTTCATCACAATTGTACGTTACTCTACTGTAAATTTTTTTTTTTAATATTAAGATTTAGCATATAATAAAATTACTTATTCCATTGTACTGTAAATCCGCAAATATTTTGGCATAGGATGATAAGTAATTATTGTATCAATGTACATATTTCGTCCTCATCATCCAATAAATTCATAAACTTAATTTTATTTACATTTCACGTATAACTTACAAATCGTTACAATTATTAACAGCACGAAATATACTACAACAGTACTTATACATATAAACCATCAACCAATAATCATTATCATACTTATTATATTTACGCTTACAGAATTACATATACTGTAAAAAACAAAACCCTAAAATTGTTAAAGCAATGAACGATGGACCCCAACTTAGCATACTATTGCAGGGATATAATAGCCGGCTTATGTTAAAAGGGATTATGAAGAACTTCAGAATAGTGCAGACTATAGAACAGAAACCCAGTGCTATAAGTTATTAAAGTTGTAAAGTGGTGTTTCGTTCACCACCGGAGGCAGAGATGGCGGCTAACAGTTTAAATGCAGCGTCAACGCTACACGAGCTACTAGCTTCACTACCTTATTTATCGGATAATGTGAGGAATCAGGGAACATTAACGGCATCTGCGTCTCTGATAAATAAGAATTCAATCAGAATTCATAACAAATCGGAGAATGGACGTTGGTTGGACAAAATGATTAAAGATACGGTCGATAAAAGTCAAATCGAGAAATTCCTTAATAGTTTTGGTCCGATGCTATCCTGAAAGACGAGGAACCAAAACACAGCTGATGGAGATGATGCTCCTAAAGACCTTGACCCACTTCAGTGTAAAGTAGTATGTAAGGTGCCAGTCATAGTGAATTCGGATGAATATACCCAGTTATTGACTTTTGGCCCTTTAAGTCATCTAAAATACCACCTGCTTGATATCGTGCACAATGATGTACAGCAATTGTGTCTAAAGTTCGCTACTTATTGTTACGAAGAATCGATAGCAAGAGTCTTCGAAGGGCTCAAAATATATGACGCAAAACACTCATACAAAGAAAGTAAAAAAAAACCCGTGACATAATAACACGCTCACCGTGTGGGAATTGAATCAAAAAAAGTGACTTCGAAGTGCACAGTCTTTTATGAAAAACGCAAATGAATCTAAAAAAGACTTGCCTATCATGCCAAAGAGATGTCAGCCTAGTAAAATACGATTGGCACTACAAACTATGCCTTGAGACAGGCGTTACAGCAAACCTTGATACCCTTAACAGATTAATCATTATAAAAAAAAAAATCCAAGGACCCAGGAGAAAAGAAAAGACATTATATATAACAAATCATAGTAAGTCCTATTATTTATTCTTCCAAATTGAACACTCCCAAGTAACTAATAATTCCATAGAATAATAGCATAAAAGAAACACTCTTGTGTATTCCAATATGTTATTCAACAAAAAAAAACAAAAAAAAACAAAAAACATACAAAC